CCAAAGCAAAAATCTGCCAAGAGGACATTGCAATTCTTAAGTCTACGCACCAAACTCAAGTGCCCCCAAGTTCATAAAAGAAACACTGCTACAGCTTAAATCACATAGTGACCCTGACACACTGATAGAGGGAGACTTCACATACCCCACTCTCATCAATAGACAGTCATCCAAACAAAAACTAAACAGAAACGCTGGAGCTAACAGACATTACAAACCAAATGGGCCTAACAGATATTTAAACAACATTTCACCAAAACATGAAAGAATAGACCTTCTTCTCAGCACCTCATGGGGCTTTCTCCAAAATTGACCACACATAAGCAAGTCTCAATAGATATGAGAAAATGGGAAAACACCCTGCTTTCTATCTGATCCCATGGATTAAAGCTGGATATCATCAACAACAGAAAGTTTGCAAACTCTTGGAAACTGAACAACTCACATCTGGATGAAAAATGGATGGAGACAGAAGTTAGGAAAGAAATTACTGTGTTGGGTAGTTTTATGTGAACCTGACACAAGCTAAAGTTATCTGAAAAGAGAGAACTTCAACTGAGAAGACACTGCCCTAAGATCTGCCTGTAAGACATTTTCTTCATTAGAGACTGATGGGCCCAGTTCGTTGTGGTGGGGCCATCCCTGGGCTGGTGGTTCTGGGCTCTATAAGAAAGCAGGCTGGGCAAGCCATGAGGAGCAAGCCAGTAAGCAGCACCCCTCCATGGCCTCTGCATCAGCTCCTGCCTCCAGGTTCCTGCCCTGTTTGAGTTCTTGTCTTGACTAACTTCAGTGATGAAGAGTGATATAAATAAAATAAACCCCTCCCTTCCCCAAGTTGGATTAAGGCGCTTCATCACAGCAAAAGTAACCATAACTAAGAAAATTAAAGACTTTCTAGAGGTGAATGAAAATGAATACACAACATACCCAAAACTTATGGGGCACAATGAAGGCAGTTCTAAGAGGCAAGTTCATAGAATTAAGTGCCTACATTAAAAAAATAATTGGAGAGATCTCCTACTAGCAACTTAACAGCACACGTGAAAACTCTAGAACAAGAAGAAATTACACCTAAAAGGAGAAGACAGCAAGAAACAATCAAATTCAGGGCTTGAATCAATAAAATAGAAACAAACAAAAACAACACAAATAATCAATGAAACAAAGAGTTGGTTCTTTGAGAAAAACAGTAAGATTGACAAACCTTTATCCAAATTATCTTAAAGGCAGAGAGAGAAGATACAAATTAACAAAATTAGAAATGAAAAGGGGGGCATAACAACAGACACTGAGGAAATCTAGAGAATCATAAGGACACACTTTAAAAAAACTGTACTCCACACAATTGGAAAATCTAAAAGAAATGGGTAACTTTCTCATTACATACCACTCACAAAAGTTAAATCCAGGTCAGATAAGCAATTTAAACAGACCTATAACACCTAGAAAAATAGAAGCAGATAGAAGCAGTCATTAAATGTTTCCCAACCAAAAGAAGCCCATGGCCAGACAGTTTTAGTGCAGAATTCTACCAGACTTTCAAAGAAGTTAATACCAATACTCCTCAAATTATTCCATCAAATAGAAACAGAAGAACATTGCCCAATTCATTTACATGACCATAGTCACCCTGAAACCCAAACCACAAAAAGGCCCAAAAAGAATTATGGGCTGGAGAGATAGTTCAGTGGTTAAGAGCACTGACTGCTCTTCCAGAGGACCAGGGGTTCAATTCCCAGCACCCACGAGGCAGTTCACAACTGTCTGTAGCTCTAGTTCCAGGGCACCTGAAATCCTCACACCAATGCACATAAAATAAACTTTTTAAAAAAGAAAAAGAATTACAGGCCAATTTCCCTTATGAACATAGATGCAAAAATACTCAATAAAATACTTGTGAAACAAATCCAAGAATACTTCAAAAAGAACATCCACTATGATCAAGTTAAGCCTCATCCCAGAGATGTAGGGATGGTTCAACACACATAAATGGATAAATGTAATCCACCATATAAATAAACTGAAAGACAAAAACTACATGATCATCTCATTCGATGCAGGAAAGCCCTTTGACAAAATCCAACACTCCCTGATGATAAAGGTCCTGGGAAGATTAGGGATACTAAGGACATACATTTAAAAAAGGCAGTTTACTGCAAGCCCACAGCCAACATCAACTTGAATGGAGAGAAACTTAAAGCAATTTCACCAAAATTAGGAGCATAACAAGATTATCCACTCTCTCCATATCTTCAATACAGTACTTGGAGTCTTAGCTAGAGTAGTAAGAACTGAAGATGATCAATGGGGGTACACATTGGGAAAGAAGAAATCGAAGCATCTTTATTTATGATATGATAGTATGCATAGTGACCCTAAGATTTCCACTGGGAAGTTCCCACAGCTGATAAACACTTTCAGCAAAGTAGCTGCATGCAAAAGTAACTCAGAAAAGTCAGTAGCCCTCCTATACACAAATGACAAATGGAGTAAGAAAGAAACCAGGGAAACAACACCTTTCACAATCGCCTCAAATAGTATAAAAATATCTTGGGGTAACCCTAAACAAGCAAGTGAAAGACTTGTATGATGAAAATTTCTAGTCATTAAAGAAAGACACTGAAGAAGATATCAAAAGATGGAAAGATCTCTCATGCTTATGGATAGGTAGGATTAATATAGTAAAAAATTGGTTATCCTACTAAGAGCAATCTACAGATTCAATGCAATCCTCACCAAAATTCCAACACAATTCTTTACAGATCTTGAAAGAATAATTTTCAGCTTAATATGAGAACACAAAAAAACTCAGGTTGGCTAAAACAATCCTGAGTAATAAAAGAACTGCTGGAGGCATCACTACCCCTGATTTCAAGTTGTGCTACAGAGCTAGTGTAGTAAAAAGAGCATGTTGATCAACATGAGTTGAAGGCTCAGACCAAATCCCATACCTATGGACACCTGATTTTTGATAAGGAAGCCAGAAAAAAAGACACACTAGCAAAAAAAGATGGTATCTTCAACAAATGATGCTGGCCAAACTGGATGGCTTGCGTGTAGAAGACTCCAAATAATTCTGTGCTTATCACCCTGCACAAAACTTAACTCCAAGTGGATCAAAGATCTCAACGTAAAACCAGATACACGGAAGCTGACAGAAGAGAAGGCAGGCCTCTGGTGGCAGCCGCAGGGCACACCTTTAATCCCAGCACCTGGCAGTCAGAGGCAGGTGGATCTCAATCTACCTCAAGTTCCAGCTATACCATGTTCATTGATAGTCTATTCATAACAGCCAGAAATTAGAAATAACCATAGAACCACAGAGTGTGTGTGTGGAGTAAAGGACTAAGTATGATACATCTCCCCAGGAAACGGAAATAGAATAGATAGTTAAGGATCAGTGGGGGGGTTGGAATGGGAGGCGCAAGTGGTGATGGGGAAAGAAGGGAAATGAGGAGAGAGACAGCAAAAAGTAAGGTCCATTTGAGTGGTAATATGACAACCTAATACAGTAGAAGTGACCTAAAATATAAGTATATATGGAGGCAACCTAAATGAAATTGCCAAATAATGGGGAGACAGAGTCCCAATTGGCCATCTCTTATCACCAAATGAAGCTTTGGGAATTGAGATTGAATTACATCTAATTGAGTCGTGGGAATCCCCAAACAACCCAGGATGTTGCCAAGACTCTAAGGCTTCTCTTTACAAACTGACAGCAAGACCCCATTGCTGAAGACAAAACCTGCACAACTCATTGAATGTGGAAAACTCTAGCTAGTGCCTGCAAAAGCCCTTGCTCTGACATTCTAGCAGCTTTGATACAGGAAGGTACTCTGCAGGCCACTAAAAGAGAAATGTAAGCACCACGCCAGCTACAGACCCTTTATCTACAGGTGTGCTGCCTGCCAGACATCCTGGGACAATAGAGGCACGAAGCTTGTGGGAGTGACCAACCGGCAGCTGATTTGACACAGAACCCATGCCTGACATTGCTTGAGTGACAAAGAACCGGAGACTACATATAGCCCAGGGACCTAAGGTAAAACCAAATACTACTGGTCTTTTTTTTTAAAAAAAAAAAAGTAGTATAAAATGACTCCTAATGGTTTTCTGCTATACTTATAGATCAATGCCTTGCTCAGCCACCAGAGAAGTTTCCTTTGGCAGCAGAGGGGCACAAATACAGAGACCTACAGGCAGACATTATTCGAGAGTGAGAAACCTTAGAACACTCAGCCCCAAACAGGATGTGTACACCAAATTCCTCACCCAGGGCCCAGGGAATCCTTAGCAGAGGCTGTGGAAAGAGGGTGAGAGCCAGAGGGAATGTACAAGAAAGCAAGGGCCTCTAAACATGGTCAAAGCTCATATGAACTCAGAGAGGAGGCAGCAGGCACTGGTCTGCACCAGGCCCTCTGCGTGTATATCACGGTCTCTAGACATGGTCAAAGCCCATCTGAACTCAGAGAGGAGGCAGCAGGCACTGGTCTGCACCAGGCCCTCTGCGTGTATATCACGGTCTCTAGACATGGTCAAAGCTCATATGAACTCAGAGATGGAGGCAGCAGGCACAGGTCTGCACCAGGCCCTCTGAGCGTTTTTATGGGATTCCTGAGGGTGAGAACAAGTGGGTCTCTGACTCTTTTTTGTTGCTGTTGTTTGTTTGTCCAACTCTGATGTGGGTAGCTTTTGTTTTATCTTATATGTTTTTGGTTTGTTTGTTTTTTGAGACAGTGTTTCTCTGTATTGTTTTTAAGGCTGTCCTGGAACTCGCTCTGTAGACCAGGCTGGCCTCCAACTCACAGAGATCAGCCTGCCTCTGTCTCCTGAGTGCTGGGATTAAAGGCGTGTGCCACCACAGCCCGGCCTCTTATCATATTTTATTTTGTTATGTTTTTATTATTATCCCTAATGAGAGACAAAAGGGAGTGGATACGGATAGGAGGGGAGATGGGGAGGAACTGGGAGGAATGGGGGAGGGGAAACTAATCAGGATATATTGTATAAGAATAATTTATTTTCAATAAAAGGGAAGAGGGGGAAAGGTGGAGAGCAACAGAGAAACATGCTCAGTGGTGACCCCTGCCCCACCCATGCACATGCACAAACACGCACATATACCACATGCAGAGAAGGAAAGAAGAAAATCATACAGCAGATGCATACTATTTCTGCCTTTGAAACTGGATGTTCTACTGACAGCCGCCTCCTTATGCAGCCACTCAAAATGTTTATTTTCAGCTCCCATAGAAATTCAGTTAAGAAACTGATACAGAGACATCAATACGTAATGTAAATATTGTGGATTGTTGGAACACGAAGATAGGAATGTGGAAAGAACACTAGAATCTGGAGTTCACAGTCCTGGGTAACAGCTTCAGCACTTTAATATAAATTTTGTGAGTCTGAATTTTTAGCTGCAAACATCAAAATCCAATTTTGGCAGTCGTAAGGAAAATATTTCACTAAAAAGATAAAAGGAGCTTCAGGATCACCAGAGAATCAGGTTTCCTGGGAGATGGGGTAACTGGAACATCTCTGTCTGTCTGTTGACCATTAGGTGCCACCACCTACTCTGAGGGACGCAAGCTCACAGCTTTCCTGACGGCTGATGATGCGCTACTTCAAGTTGCTGACAATGTTCCAGAGACATTGTTATGCGGCATGTAGGTCTCAATTCTGTAAGGGGAATATTTGTTTGTAAAATTAGAACTGCATGGAAAGACACAGAAGGCATCTAGAGTCTTCACTTCCATAACAAAAACACACAGTTTGTTTCTCACCCAGCCCATCGGGGATGATCCCCAAGTGTAGGAAGGAAGTTGACATCTGCAGGTGGCCAAAGGAGATGACAGCTGCTGTGTTTTTGGAAAAATGACTCTGCCTGAGTCTAATCTTTCTGTAAAGAAAAGGTCCACATGGCTGAGGAGACTGTACATTCGCTTCTCCATTTGCCATGAGTAGGATTTATGTGCCGGGCTGCTAAGACGAGCATGCCCACTGAGGTCAAATGAAGGTGAGAAGTCAGCTGACAGCAGGGACAAACACGGCGCACATGGTGGGATGGAACCGGGTACCCGACAGAGAGGGCAGGCACACGGGAGCAACCGACTGCTGACAAATGTTCTTGTACGCCAACATACATGCAGCCAGAGCACCCATACCCACAAAATGAAAATACATAATCTTAAACAAACACCACTGTTTTGACATAAAAGCCCCTCACGTGGCACGTGGCACCTGTAACTCTGACGGAGAGGACAGGCAGCATGTATGGTAGACAGTCCACCATTCTCCTTTGGAGGTCCCAACTCTTTTACAGAAACGCCAAAACAAACAGTGATGTTTGATGTCACAAATGCAGGAACTCAGGGTTTTCATTGCTTATTGAAATCCATATCCAGCCTGCTGGTTTCATACAATGGGGTACTTTCCAAAGGATTAGACATGTGACTGGTTTACCAGTCATCAAAAGCAAGCAACATCACCAAGTTTATTGTAGTATGAGTTCATCCTGTTTTTTGCTGGACTTGACCTAAGCGTGGCCTTTCCACTATATCTGTGGGCCTGGTGCATAGCTCTCAGTCTTTAAATTGTTTTTAGGTCCAGGTGTTTGGTTTGGGCTTTAAACAAAGGAGGAGTTGAGGGCTGGGGTGTGGGTGAAGGGGAGAGCACTTACCAGTATGTGCAAGACCCTGAGTTTACTCCAACCACTGGAACACAAACAAATAAAAACCCCTACAGTTTCAGGAACGTGGGCCTCACCCCATCATGTCAAATTCATCATATAGTAGTGATAGATGAAACGTGTGTTTTAACACTTTTTTTTTTTTCTGAGACCTAGGATTTGCCAGAAGTCAGTAGAACCACCGGGGTCTGGTGTAGAAACTTCTCAACATTCTTGGTGAGTTAGGTTTCTGCACTTACAGTCTCTTCTATAATGCAGACGTCTGAGTCCAATGCCTTTTTTATCTTAAACTTATTTTATGCATATATGTGTTTTCTCTGTGTGTATGTTTGTGCATCAAGTATGCCTGCTACCCCCAGGAGACCAGAAGAGGGTGTCAGATGCCCTGGAATTTGAGTTACAGAGGGTAGTGAGCAGTCATATGGGGGCTGAGAATCTACCCTGGGTCTTCTCCAAGAGCAGCCAGTGCTCTCAACGGCTGGACCGTCTCTCCTGCCCCACCCCCACCCTTACCCCACAGATGCTGATAAGCATCACAAACTTAAGAAGTTCACAACTGAGTTATTGGTCCTCTGCCTCTATGTTCCCCTTACAACAGTCCCGTTTCTGCAAATGGCACCTCCTGGATCTGTGGTAGTCGCTAAAGCTAGAAGATTGAATCTCCTCCAGTTTTTCCAGAACAACCCAAATTTGACTGTGCTACAAAACCGTCTCAGAACCGCGTGTCCCCACATCCACGTCAGCACTTCAGCGGTGTCCAAACACTCATGTTCTCCACCCCTTCAATGGCCTCCACGCACATAAAAGAAAACCTTTATGGGACCTTCTGGAATACCACCCTTTGATATAAGACAGAGCTGGGGTGGATGGGTGCACACGGCTGGAGAGGCAGCTTAGTGGCTAGGAGGTGTATTTATTGCTCTTGCAAAGGATTCACTTGTTGGCTCACAACTCCCTGTGTCCCAGTTCCAGCGGATCCAGCTCCCTCTTCTGGCTTCCAGTGGCCCCTGTAAGCACAGGGTGCACATAAACCCAGGTGCACACCCATACACATAAAAATAAAATAACAATACAACTTTGTTGTTAAAAAAAAAAACCACAACACTCTGTTTCTCTAAGGAGCAATCTTGCTTCCCTTGACTCACGAGCTTTCTCACTAAGGCTTTCCCTGCTCCTTTCCACACAACTACTCTCTTCAAGTTCCTCAACCCCGGGTTTTAAACCTGGGCCCCTTTCACGTAGTCCACATAACTTTAAACACAAATGAACTTAAATAGCGATTTGTGTTTACCGTCACCATAGAATGGATTTCAGAACAGGAGCCATCGCAGTCTCGTGCTCTTGGGTCCATAACTAGTAGTGGCAGCAGCAACTGCTACACATCATTTACAGACATCATGCATTGTTATACCAAGAGCTTTCCATGTAACCGTCCCACGGCCCCAGTGTCCTTCCTTCCTGACTTCTAGCCAGGGTCTGTCTGCTCAGCCGGTTAACCCAGCTTCTCTGTGCTCATCCGCACGGAGCTCAGGGGGCTGTCAGGCTAATGGTGCAGGAAAGGATCGGCGTTGACCCCTTGGGATCCTCCTGCAGTTCTCTCCCACGCATGCTAGTCCTGCCCCTTCGGAGGCCACGCTCGCCCCACGCGGAGCCCCCGAGCTCCGCCTCGCCTCCAGTCTCCCGGCCGCGCGCTCACAGCCGAGCTCCACCCCCGCATCACGTGACGGCGGTCGGGGGCGGGGCTCGCGGCGAAGTCGGTCCTCCTGGCGGCGCGCCGCAGTCCTTGGGCAGCCCTGCGGCTTCCAGGGCGTCGCGGCCGCGGCCCCGCAGCGCCGCTCCCAGAGGTAAGAGCGCGGCTTCCTCCACGCTCCCCGGAGGCTTCCCGGGAGCCCGCTGATGCTCCAGGCCACCGGCCTTTCGGTCCTGCCGCGGGCCAAGCCTGTGGATGGGGTGCGGGGACCCGGCTTGAGGGAGTGCGGGGGTTGGGGGCTTGCCCCCCCCAGCTCCAGGAGAGCCGTGCCTTGGTCCCCACTCCTTCCCCGGAACCGCCCGCGGTCGCCTTCGACCCTAGGGTTTTGCGAGTGTGCGAGAGAATTAATTCTCCTTTGCGGGTTGAAGCCTTCAGCTGGGATGTCAGAGCCAGTGTGCAGTCGGGCACCCAGTGGGTCTGGTTTTAGCAAATCGCGGAGACTCGGTTTCTAAAATCTTTGGAAGAAGAGGGATAACCCCTGCCCGGCCCCCCTCCTGCACCGAAGAACTGATGGCAAAGCCATTCGATGCGCCAGAGCTCCCGAGTTGGTTTTAGTCCCACCGCCCACTAGCCAGCAACCTTGAGCCACGTCGATGGCGCTTCTGTTGAAAGTAGAGGCAGTACTTCGGCCAGAGGTTGCTGTGAGGATTAAGCTGAAGAGATGAGCACAGTGCGGGCCAGAGGGCTCCTTAGAGCATGCTCTCGGCATGAGCATTATTAAAATAGCAAGCTAAGGAGGACTCCAAGAGAGACGTCTTTCTTGCCGTAAGCGCGCCGTCCACTCACTGTGTATGCGATCCTGAAAACAGTGCCGGTTTTGGCTGTAGAACCTTCTCCCTTCCCAGGCCCCCTTTGCCTTCTGTTTCCCATTGGCATGTGAACCTGTTGTTCCTACCGAATGAGTCAGGCAGGATGGGAACGCTAATTTACTTGAGCAGATGGGTATCAGATTCCCTCTGAGGGGAAAGAAAACTGCCAGGCTTGTGCTCCCACCAAAAAAAGCACAGTGGAGTGATTGACTGTCTCCTGGAAGATGCCTGGGAACCCATGTAATCCAGCTGTCTCCAGCACATAAGGAAACGAGCCAGGAGGAGGCCAGGACTTTGATTTTGCTCACACTTCAACACTGTTGGCTCTGGGTAGTAGTAGAAAGAATGCGAGCGCTTCCCCATGCTCATTTATCCCGGCTGCATGTTTGTACGTCGACAGGGAGCTGGATGGAGATAAAGCTATGGACCAGACAATGGTGTCTGCCCCCCCCGTGAAGCTGTCTCCATAGCTGACTATGTTAGTTTGAGATTATATAAAAGTCTATTTTGTGCGTGCGTGTGTGTGTGTGTGTGTGTGTGTGTGTGTGTGTGTGTGTCCCTCTGCTGGGTCTCAGTATGCTTTATGATAACAAGTTCCAGCTCCCAGGGAGCTAGCCTCACAGCAGCTGGCCCCAGGGGACCTGCACACCAGAGAGGCTTGAATTGTTTCATGAACCTTGTCAGGTCTCCCGGCCTGGTGGAAGCTTGGTGAGATCTCGAAACTGGAGCAAATGGTACTTTGTTGAAGCTTTTAGGGACGGATTTCCTCAGGCCTAGAACGCCTGCGTTTCTTTGTTTCTCTGGTTTCTGGCCTCTTCTTGTAAAGAGAGCAGCCTTCAGCATAGTGCCTTCATTTGGTTTCCATGGTTATCAGGGGAATTACATTTTCATGATAGCACCAGTAGCTATGGAGCTGTGTGGCCAACCACCAGTCACTCTCCCGCCAAGTCCTCTTTCTGGTTTTGTTTTTCAGCTGTAGTGCCGACATCGTCTCCCCTCCTTTCTTCCCTCCCTTTCGTCCTTCCCTTCAGCAGTGACAGTATGAAGGGGGATGGCAATAAGAACAGTCAAAAGAGAGACAGACCTTGGCCTGGGAGATGGTAGGATCTTTTTTTGGCCCAGCCCACCGATGGCGACGCAGTGCTGTGGCTTGGCACTGAGGGCGTTGGCAGGTGTGAGGGGCAGGCCAGTGGCCCTCTGGAAAGGGTAATGGTGAGCCAACTTGAGCTCTCATAGGCACAGTGACAGAGCCCTGGGCAACGAGGAACACCTCACCCGCCTTTCAAAGGAGATGAGGAAGAAAGGTGTTCCTTTAGTGGACCCCAGTCAAAGATAGCACCGTAGCGTTTTGTTGCCTGAGTTTGCCGTAATGGGTGAACCCTCTCCTCGAGTCACTTATCATGAGCTTTGTGCTGCTGCTCTCCCTGTTTGCCTGACTTGTTCCCATTCCCCTGACATAGCATGAAGGGCTAGAGAGACACTTGTTTGGGATCCATCTATTTCAGATTAGATATTTAACCTGTGTGTCTCCTTTCTCAAGTTGGGCACTAGTGCAGTCACACATTATTTTTCCAAGTACCCTCCCAAGTCTTCCAAAACCCTCATTAGTGAGGCTTCTAAGCCCTAGAGGGGCTTCTGTAGCCCAAAGAGGTCCTCTCAGAGGAGTGAGAGCGGTGAGTGGTGTACCCAGATTGTTACCTGGCAGCTGTGCGGTGTCGCTGTGGAAGAGGTGCTCTGCACAGCTCAGGGATGTGGTAGCTGCTGCTCAGTGCCCTTAGGGCTCCCCTGCTCGAATCTGAGGTTGCAGCTTTTTTTAGTTCACGCTCATGTGCTTAGCTTTGTGTTCCCCGAAGTCCCGCTTGTTGGCCCTTACCTTGAGTCTGCTGTTTGGCTGGCTTCTAGCTTTCTGGGGTCACCGTAGATCACCGAGAGTCTCCTCTTTCCAAGCCTTTTATCTGAATTAAAGAGCTGTATCTCCATCCTTCCCTCCCTCCCTCCCTCCCTCCCTCCCTCCCTCCCTCCCTCCCTCCCTCCCTCCCTCCCTCCCTACCTCCCCCTGAGCTTAACCCAAGTCCTTTTGGTAAACCGGTTCCGCCTTGTCCCCAGGGTCTTAGCTAAGCAAGTTCTTACCTAAGATTCTCAGGGATGGTAAATTTCAAGAAGATGCCACCCTAGGACTTTGGGTACCTCTTCAGCCTTGTTTTCTAAGTATAAGAGGGGTGTTGGTGATTCTTGGCAAAGCACACATCTGTTCCCAGGTGACTGTTTCCACTTGCAGTCCTAAGAGGTTAGGCAATTGCAAACATCCCCTATTAAGACAGGGTGGTGCATGCTTGCAGCCCCAACTCTGTTGTGTAGGCAGGAGCGTCAGAGTTTGGGTCCACCTAGGCTATATGAGACCTTGTTTCCAGAAAAAGGAAAGGAAAATAGGCTTTACTGGAAGTGGAAATGTATTTGGCATATACTCTGTTAGGGATTTGGGAGGCAAGGTTTCAAATTAAAAACAAAGGAATGTGGTTGGTAGGGGGACACTGTATTTCTTGAAAGGCTGAGGCAGGAGTGTTGCTTGGACCTAGAAGTTAGAGTCAGTGGCAAGATCTCAACTTAAAAACAAAAGGCTGGTTACAGTTGTTTGGGTTTTTCTTTTTATGACAGTTCTTGGGTTCTTTCAGTTTTTCTAAGAATCAGTATATTTATCTTTGTTTTGAATGTTTTTTACTCTGAAAGATAAAATATACAGATGGGGTGCAAATGTACAGTTTAGCAAATAATTAGGAGGGAAATGACAGTGTAAACACTGCAGCCTCAGGAAACAGCGCATGGTCAGGGCCTCCTTCAGACGTTAGCCTCCTCCCTGAGAAGCTGTCATGCTGACCTGCAGGTGGCCATCATCAGTTGTGTGGGTGTCCCCACACAGTGCCACTGGTCACCCTGTCTGCATCTTTCGTTTTGCTTCTTTTGCTCTGTGTATCACTTGGCATGCAGCCATGTGGTAGCCTCATGTCCGTCGCTAACGGTAACGTGCTGGTGGGAATAGGTCACAGTAAGTTCAGTTAGCATTGGATGGACACTGGGTTGCCAAGAACATTCTCAGACACACTCTGTCTCTTTTAAATGGTGTTTACTCGTTCGTTTGTTTAGTGGCAGGGGCGTGCACACGTTGGTTCTCCTTTCATTGAGCAGGTCCCCGGGATGGAACTCAGATCATCAGTCTTGCTCCTGAGCATCTCTGAACACAGATCATCAGTCTTGCTCCTGAGCATCTCTGAACTCAGATCATCAGTCTTGCTCCTGAGCATCTCTGAACTCAGATCATCAGTCTTGCTCCTGAGCATCTCTGAACTCAGATCATCAGTCTTGCTCCTGAGCATCTCTGAACTCAGATCATCAGTCTTGCTCCTGAGCATCTCTCTGGCCCTCCTCGGGCATACTCTGTTGTGCGTCTGAACAAACTTATTTAGGTTACATTCATCTGCATAGAGTTGCTTTGTTAGAGATGGTAGCATGTCCTCCCCACCCCCACCCCAGACGTACACAACTTGATTGGTTTGCTTCTTGATACAAGATCTTAACTGTGTAGTTCAAGCTGTCCTGGAACTCAGTATGCAACCAAGACTGACCTGGAGCACAGAGCAATTCCCCTGCCTTACGCCTGTAGCCTGGATCTACAGGTATGAGCTATTATGCCCAGCTTCTAAATTTCTGTCTTGCTAGCATTTTGTGAGTCCTACTCCCAGTCCTTGGAGATTCTTGCATCAGTCAGTTTATTTAACTAATTCTTGTGTGTATAATATCTCTTGAGGCCTTAACTTGCTTTCCTTGGTTATTGCTGATATTGAGCACTTTTTTATGGCTAATGGGATAGCATCTTTGTGAAATGCTCAAGTCGTCAGGCTTGCTCTTCAGTGTGGCTCCAGGTTGGCAGGGTTGGCAGGCACTTTATTCACCGGTCCATTCAGCAGGTCCTGCAGGTTCTTTAAGTTAAACACACACTAGATCCACATTAAATGAAAACATGCAGTGTTTGTCTTTCTAGGTCTGGGTTGCCTTGCTTAGTATAATTTTTTTCAGACTCATCCATTTACTTTCATTGTCTGTAGGTGCCATGTTTTCATTATTGATGGACATCCAGGCTGTTTCCGTGTCCGTTCTGTGGTCAGTAGAGTAGCAGTGACCATGGATGGGCAGATATTTCTGTGGTAGGGTATAGAGTTCTTTGGGTGTGTCTGGGATGGTATAGCTGGGTCGTGTGGCAGGAATATTTCTAGCTCTTTGAGGAACTCCCACGTTGATTTTCATAGCGGCTGTACCACCTTGCTTCCACAACAACAGTGAATGAGGGCTTCTCTCCCCATACACCCTTGCCAGCATTTGTTTTTTTACTGTTAGCCTTTCTTACCGGGGTAAATGAAATGTCAATGTAGTTTTAATTTGCATTTCCCTGATGGCTAATGCAGATGTTAAATACCTTAAAAGTTATATCTTAGACATTTATATTTAAGGTGTTTTTAATATTAAGCTGAGGTGATGATTTAAATATATCCCACATAGTCTCAGGCATTTAAATACTTCCCCATCTGGTGGCACTGTTTGGGGAAGTTTAGGAGGTGTTTCCTTGTTGGAGGAAGTCTGTCACTGGAGGTGGGCTTTGAGGATTTAAAGACTCACACGCTCTGCTTCCTACTTGTGGTTTAAGATGTGAGCTCTCAACTTGCTGTTCCAGCCAGCACCCTACCATTGCGGACCCCAACTCTGTGGAACCCCAAGTCCAAATAAACACGCTGTAGTTTCCTTGGTCATGGCGTTTTATCACACTGGGCTTCACTGTGTATCCCAAGATGACCTAGAATTTGCTATGTATACCAGGCTGGTCTTGAACTAACAGAGATCTACCTGCCTCTACCTCTCAAATGCTCAGATTAAAGGCAGGAACTACCATGAGTGCAAAAATGTCATTGTCATCACAATCTTCTTATCATCTTCTGTTACATTCAGAGAGAGAGAGAGAGAGAGAGAGAGAGAGAGAGAGAGAGAGAGAGAGAGAGTGTGTGTGTGTGTGTGTAAGTATAACCACATGTGTGGAGGTCCAAAGACAGTTTTCAGGAGAGGGCTCTCTCCTTCCACCTGTGGGTTCCAAGGATGGAATTCAAGTTACCAGATTTCATGGCAACAGCCCTTACCTTCTAAGCCATTTTCCTGGCCCTTGTATTTCTTCTTTGGAGAAGTCTTTTTTTAGTTTTTCAAAATTGGGTAATATGTTTTCTTAATGTTTAGTTTTCCTGAGTTCTTTGTATATTCTAGACACCAATTCTGTGTCAGATGTGTATGGCAGAGATTTCCCCTCCTCCACATTCTGTAGGTTGCCTCTCAGTTGATTAACAGTTTCCTCTGCAGTGTAGAAAGAAGCCACCGGGGCCCCATTTAGAAAATCTTTACCTAAGTGTGTGTGTGTGTGTGTGTGTATGTATATATATATATACATATATATGTATATATATATATATCGGCAAGTATACTCCCTACTCTCCTTGTGAGTTTTCAGAGTTTTAGGTCTAACATTGAGATTTTGATCCATCCAGACTGTTGTGCAGGGTGACAGATAAGGACCAACTTTCCCCCCAAGACTCAGAGGACATCTCAGAAGACTTTGGGGAGGACCAGGGTGAAATAGTTTATTCTGGATATGACAGGACTCATGTGTGCATGGACCTGCAGCAGCACTGTTAACCTGATAAGGTCAATGTAATCAATATTCCATTGTGTAGTGGGAAGGGCTCCAAGCCTGCACCTTTAGCTGAGGAGCTATTCACAGTTGATGGCTTCTGGGGAAGGGTAAGTCAGTTTTCTTTTAAAAAGTCTTGAAGCCAGGCTGTTGTGACACACACCTTTTATCCCAGCACTAGGGAGACAGAGGCAGATGGATCCCTGAGTTCAGGGCCAGTCTGGTCTACAGAGCGAGTTCCAGGTCAGCCAGGGCTATGCAGAGAAACCCTGTTTTGAAAAACTGGAAAAAAAAAAGAAGAAGAGGAGGAGGAGGAGGAGGAGGAGGAGGAGGAGGAGGAGGAGGAGGAAATAGCTTCTGATAGGTTTGTCAGTGGACTGTTCCACACCCATGCATGTGTGAGAATACCAGACTCCCAAGTGCTGGGACTTGCCTTTTTTGAAAAGAGAACAAGGAGTTAGGTGGAGGTTAGAAGACTTATCTGGGAGGCATGGGGTATGAACATGGTCAAATACATTTGTCTTAGTTACTGTTCTGTTGCTGTAAAGAGACACCATTACTAAAGCAGCTATGACAAAGGAGAGCCTTTAGTTGAGGGCTTACTGTTTCAGAGGGTGAGTTCATGATCATCATGGCAGTAGATAGTGGCAGGCAGACGCGGTGCTGGAGAGGCCGCTGAGAGCTCACATCTCATCTGCAAGTTGCAGCAGAGGGAGAAACAGACACAGAAAAAAAACACACAGGGCCTGACTGTGGCTGGCATGGGCTTTTGAAACCTCAAGCCCATCCCCAGGGGCACACCTCTTCCAACAAGGCCATGCCTCCTAATCCTTCCTAAACAGTTCAACTAGGGACTAAGCAAATACATGAGTCTGTGGGAGCCATTCCCTTGCAGACCACCGCAACACTATATACATGTTTTAAATTCTCAAAGAATTAATAAAAATACTAAAAGAAAAAATCTCAGGCTAGCAAGATGGGTGAGCAGATAAAGGTGCTTTCTGCCAAGCCTAACACCCAGTCCAACCCCTAGGATGGGACTCACTACCACAAATTGCTCTCTAACCTCTACATATATGCTATGACAGATGCCTCCCTCCAAAATGAAGTAAATAAATGTTTTTTTTAAAAAGAAAGAAAATCTTTGTCTCTCTGAATCCCTGTCTTGCTCACTCTAATTTGGCTGCATTCTTCAGTCCCTCAGGTGATCTCTCCTGAGTTTCCCCCTTCCTGACAAGGGGCATGGACAGTTTGTC